TGATAAGCAGCCTTTTAAGAAGTGGAACGTGATGATGAGTCTGTTACAAATGCTTGTCTATATATAGAAACTTCATCGCTCTCTGATTCCATATACCACGAGGATTTCTCTCTCTCTTAACTGAACCGGAGAGAGATAGATTTTACTGAAACAATTAAGATGGAACAGACCTTCATTAAGGAAAGTTGATTATGAATATTAATGACCATGAAGCCACTTTTGATGTTTTAAAGGCTACGAAGCATCCAGCTGAGAGAAAAGATGATGATTGTTTTTGGGTTGATGAAATTGATTATCTAAGTAAAGACCATTTCCAAAAAAGTTTTGAGGGTAAGTTAATAGATGAGATCAAAATAGACTTTTATGATGAGTTGAAAATGTGTTTAAAGAAGATTGTATGCATGTTCAGGAGAAGTGTGAAATGATGGACCTTACCAAAAATAGTAAAATTTTAATTCCATTTGTTGAAAAATCTCATGGATTGTTCCCCATACAATTATAAAGCCTACCTATTTAGGGTATTCATCTATACCATCAGTTTTTATATCTTCAAATTCGACTCAATCACAAGAAGAACCTGAATTGAATGATGAAATTAGTAAAAGATCTCCTAAGAAAGAGTTATTCAAAATCATTGAATGGCATATTATGTGGTATACAAACAAAGAGAATAAGATTTTGATGATGGATGATGGTAAACATGGGATACATCGGGTCGTCGATGTTAGACCAAGCGCTTCGTGTGAGGCAACTCATGGTTATCTTTGTATTTGTTTAGTGTGATTGTTGTTATGTTGGATTGGATAATAGTGAGATGTTGGACTTTGATTCTTGTTTGATGTTTAAGTGTGGATTGAATTAATGTTGTGAGGCAATTCCCTCTTCGTGACTATATTTGTATATGATTTTTGATAGTAGCAGGTTGACAACTCTTTTACGTAGTTCTCAACATGAGTTAAGCATTACCTTGAAGCATGTAGAGTTTGGACTTAGATCACTCCCAGTAAACTCTATTACTTCCTTGATCTGACTTTATCTTCAGTGGGTAAGGTCATGAACTTACTTAGTGAACAACATCTGAATTAACTGCACTATTTTTATTTACCAGAGTGTGTATACCTTAGACTTAGATTAACCCTGAAATTGGCAACACATGAGGGAATTCTAGTCCATGGGTGATAACCATATAAAGTTTTATAATACACCCACATTGTTAGTGTAGTTTCTTCCATTAGAAATTGAAAGTAAGGAGGGGAAATGTGAGTAGAAGGGAGATCAAACTAACCTCAGTTATTGTTTGTTTATGAATCTATGAGTCTATGTATTGGAGTTTGTGTGTCGTTGTATGTGAGTCAAGTTGAATGAGTCATGGGAGATGACAAAACTTATCTCAATATTTAGAGCTTGTTAGCATCCAACAATTCTTTTATGAAGTTTAAAATGTGTTCCTATTTAATCTTCCGTTTGTACCTGTTCTACTATTTAAAATTCCTTTACAGTGTTATGTCAAGCATGTTTAGGATAGATTTACTTTCTACTTCAATATTCTAGCATGCGTTATTTGTTGATATTTTTGTAGGATGCGTAGTAAATTGTAAAAGTGTTCTTTCTCATATTTTTGTACTTCATTGTTACACATGTTTGAGCTTAAGTTTGGGGGGAAAGAAAAATGTTTCAAATTAAACATTTCTGGTTTTCAAAAGTACTACAAATAAATTTCTATTTTGTTTCTAATGATTATTGTTATGTGGAGTCATCTTAAGGATGTTAGAATTTTAAGTATAGAAATGAAGTAGGAAAACGTAGTTGATATTTTTGGTGAAAAGGGTGAACCTAGAGTTAAGGATATTTTTTGGAGAGCTTGAGAAAATGCATAACTATCTTTAGTAGGAAAAATTTTATTTTTTTGAAAAATTAAGGTTTCTTAGAATTTTTATTTTCAAACATTTAAGGCTCTTTTAAAAAGTATTTAAAAAAAATATATCTTATCAAGTGAAAAAAAGTAATAAGTTTTAACTTTAGAGGAGGATAGTGGAATTTAAAATTATTTAAGTACTTCTCTAGATATAGTAATCCTCACATAAAAAAAAAATAATGGATCAAAAAGATCCAGAAGAAAAAAAAAGAAGAAAAAGAAGAAAAAAAAGAAAAAAAGAAGGTGAGGAGAAGCTTGAGGAGAGGTCCTAATCAAAAATTGGTTTTACTTGAGTCTTTCTAGATGAAAGAACTTAGAACAATCTTAATCTTGATTTTTATACTTATATTAGTAAAAATTATTTTTAAAATAGTTCTTAAGTCTAGAAAGTAAAGATCATAAGATCCAAAGTTATGAAAAATCTGCATATATTTCTAAACTAGATAGAAAAACAAATTTTCAAGTTTGATGATAAATATTTTAGATCTTGGGCTAGTCTGATTCACTAGAGGTTCTTCTAATTTCAACAATTACATTTTTAGAATAAAATTTTAGCAATTATAAAGGATGACCCATTAACTATAATCTACATAAATTATTTTAAAAATGTAGTATTACTTGAGGACAAGTAATGTTTAAGTTTTTGGAATTTTGATACGCCTAAAAATGTACTATTTTTCATGCTTCATTTTATAATGATATTACACTTTAAAAGTATGCTTTCTTGTATTCTTGGTTGTAGGTACATCAAATTGAAGAATTTGGAGTATGGTAGCAAAAAGAACAAAAATGGACCAAAATGGAGCAAACTAGAGAAAATCTTTTTGAACCTTAAAATCAGGTCAAACTGGGGCACACCAGAGCCAAGGGGACCTAAACCAGACACTTAAGTGCTTGTACCCAGTGCTTAAGCACCCAAATATGGCGCTTAGGCGCCACCAGACAGAGAGGGGGCGCTTAAGGGCTCAAAAACGACGCTTAGGCGCCAAAGACGGTTTTTAACATATCTTCTAGAATATACATCGGATTTGGATGATTTTTAAAGCGGTGCTTCATGAATCTCTTAGGAAATTCATTGGAAATAATAAAATGGACTTTTTAAAAGAATTTATGGAAATTATATGGAGTTTTGAAGAGGCACTTGAGGCATCATTAGGAAGATTCATTGAATCTGGACAGTTTTGAAGAGACACTTAAGAATCTCTTGAGAAATTATAATTAAGGCTTGGAAATGTTCTTAAAAGAACTCTTGGACTCTTGAATCAATAAGAAGAGGAGAAAAAGACTTGGAGAAGAAGAAGAAGGCTTGGGCGTGAGCCCCAAGTGGGGCGACAAGGCGAGAGAGAAAGAGAGAGTGTGAGAATTTCTTCTTTTCTTTTCACTTTGTTCTTGGAGAGGATTAAAAAGAGATTGTTTTTTCTATACAAGAAGAGTTTGATTTCTATTATAGATAAGTATTTCCATTGTATTTTGATTTGAATTTAGTACTTTATTTGTGTGGTTTCAAAGTCTTGTTCAATGAAAAGTTCTTGTTGTTTGTCCATGTGTAGTGAGTAGTTTTCGTTATTCTTCCCTCTTGTAATGAATTAATATGCATGTGTAGGATATAGAATTGAGTAGAGTGAGAATATATTGTGATGATTTTAATTATTCTTCATTTACATATAAACTTGATGAACTTGCATGTTAAAATCTATTGTGAGAACATGTAAGATCCGGGATGGTATTGTCTCAATTGTCTCAATCAATTTGTCTCAATCAATTGTGGTAGAATCATATGAGATTGTATGGATGAGAATGTAGTTCATATAGTTGAGTGCAAATAAATGGGAAAATAATCTTTAATGGGAGTAGAATTAAAGGACTTTAGAGTGACAGGCTAAAGCCCCCTAATTTGGTCTATTGTTTTAGGTTTTGATGTGAGATGTTAGCCTCCAGGGGGAGGGATAAGAGGGAACCCTAGAGTGAGAGCTAGCATCTTCCCTGCCTAGCCTGTCTTCAGAGCTATTCAAACTTTAGATTAACCAATGTTCTTTATAGCATCTCTAGTAAGGGTAAAGAATATAATTGCTCTTATTTGTCACAATCTCTCTCACTACTTGTTTTACTTTTTACACATGTCACTAATTTCATTGCATGAGGAAGAGTACTTTTAATATATTAAACCCTACTTTCAGATTTTCACGAAGTATTTTAGTTTAGGAGTAGAAGTATTATTATAGTGATAATTGTAGGATATAATCAAAATCAAACATTTATCGACCTTCCAAGATAGGGTGTGTTATTCTAGACTAGAACTTCTCTTGAAAGCTGCAGTGATTAACCTCGATCTATATGAGATCGATATTCGGGGCTTAATCAGAAAGCCTTATATTACTTGATAACGATACATATACTTGCGTAGAATCCCTACAAATATAATTGAAATCTTACTTTGCTTGGGATTAAGTTTTTGGCGCCATTATCGGAGATTAAAATCTTCAAATAGCGGTGTCACCTTCATAAATCCTTACATATAAAAAAATATCGGGATCATGAATCTACACCGGTTAATCCGATACTTGGTAGTTGGTACTTAGCTAAACAGTTCGGCAGAACAATCTAATAGGTCAACCCAGCAACTAATACATGATCCCAATGTTTTGGGAAAGAAATATGTTATCAAGGCTCATTGGACCTGCTAATACCTTCTCCAGCCCATAAAAACCATTTATTTACAAACAAATATGATATTAACTCATTATGAAGTACGATAGGTCTTGTGAAAGTTCAAAAGTGCATGCCTTCAATTATATTAGAAGCATTTACATTTATACCACACAATCCTATATAAAATTTCAAAGTCAAACATAATAATTAATTAAATTAATAGAGTTTTTTCCCTTATTATCTGAAATCCATTTTATGGGAAGATCCAACAAAATCATTGTCAATAAATGATAAGCAGCCTTTTAAGAAGTGGAACGTCGTTACAAATGCTTGTCTATGTATAGAAACTTCATCGCTCTCTGATTCCATATACCACGAGGAGTTCTCTCTCTCTTAACTGAACAAGAGATAGTTAGATTTTACTGAAACAATTAAGATGGAAAAGACCTTTATCATGATCAAGCTTGATGACGTCCATCGCAACCTGATGATAATGTATCCGTCCACCTTTCATTTCTCTAATTTTTCTCTCATCTTAAAGTTGAACCACTCAAATCTATATGTAACCCACATCTCATCAGATTAGTGAGATCATCGGATGCTTCGAATGCAGTGGTTTCTACCTGAAAGGTATTTGGTTTTTCTTTCGAATCCCCCTTCATCAACTCTTTCGTGTTTATATATTTTGTTGCGACTAGTGATCATCTATTTGAATTTTATGGTTGAAGTTTCAAACGTGGAGTGATCCATCGCGGAGAAGCACTGCTAGGATTTGGCGAGAAAGCGCTACTTCCCTGCACTTGTGGGGGACATCACATCTGGCCCTGTGGTGGCCATGGTTTGGGAGGGCGACAATGTTATTGTGAAATGCCGCAAGATTACTGGGGCTTTTGATCCTTCTAAATGGGAACCTGGTACTGTTCGGGCCGATTATGCAATTGAAATTGGGATGTGATTATTCAACTTTTTCTTTCGTTTTCCTCTTATGCTCGTAAGTTTTTTTTTTTATGGAATATATTTTTTTTGTCTCTTACTGCAGGAATGTAATACATGGAAGTGATTCAATTGAGAGTGCGAGGAAGGAGATCGCTCTGTGGTTTCCAGAAGGCCTATCCGGATCCGAAAGCAATCTTTACTAGGAGTGTTCTCTACTTCTTGCTTGTTGTGGGTGAAGTTTTCTTTTTTAGTTTTTTTTTTTTTTTTTTTTTTTTTTTCTGGCTTGTTGGTCGTTGAACTTTATGTTTATTTTAGCTTTCAAGTTGAGAGAATATTAATTACGTTATATATATTTAATGTTGGGTTTGTGCTATGTGGCAAAATTTAATTGGAGTCAACGGGTGGGCGTTTGATTTGTAAATAACAATGTTTCAGATGTTTTTAATGCAATTGACCCTTTTTTTATGTTATTTTTGTTTTCATCTTAAAAATATGTTTATTTAATTTATTATTTTTTACAAGCTTTTATATTTTGTTTTCAACAATAAATTAATTTATTTCTAAAAAAATTTCAAAATATCTAAAAATTATTTTGAATATTTCAAAAAATAATTAAATTTCAACTAAAAATAGGTAAAAAAATAAAATAAATAAAAGTAATCTCAACCGGCTTCTAAATAATTAGATTTGACCTGCGTTGGTCACCCAATAACTAAGTTCAAATTTAAGAAGATATTGCAGACATATCACCCAATAACTAAGTTTTTACATCTCTAACACCTAAACATTACTTTTTATATTTTAGCTTTTCCAATCACTTGTGGATAAACCGGTGGCTTGATTACATATCTACGAGGGCTGTCAATACGGCCGTTGTTCGCAAACAACTCGTGTTCGACTCTTTAAGAAGCTCGCGTTCGGCTCGTTCACTAAGTTAACGAGCCGAAAACTGAACAACACGAACAAAAAATTTGTTCATATGTATTCAGCAAGTTTTGGCTTGAAATACTGCTAATCAATTATAAAAGAAAAAAAGAACAAGAGATAAGAAAAATAAAAAAATTTTAATACAAAAAGATTTAATTTTAAGTGTTATATAATTAAATATAATGAAAAGGATTTTAAGAAAAATAAATTAAGTAAATTATATTTTCTTGGTTTCATAATTTTGGAGATAATTGCACAGAAACATTTTCTTTTTTTATTAGAATGAAATGTAATGGATTCAAACAAAACTAAATATTAAAGGTGCTTTGATCAGTGGTGTCAAAAATGGCCCATCGCGCCAGCTCGATTCAAGAAATTCGGGTTTGATCTTACTCGAATAATTTTTGGGTCTAGTTTGGGATAGGAATCTTAACGCGTTTAATTTGTTGGGATGGGTTTCGGTTGGTCCATCAACCTAAATTTGACGACATCATATGGCTTGCGTTAAACGGGTTATACATGTCATATTTGGGTCGACGGGTTGAAGGCGAGTCAGCTCATGCGCCGACCAGTTTGATATTGGGTCGAATTTATGTCAAGTAATCTTGGATCATACCAATTATGCATGTAAATATTACAAATTTAGGTATTAGATATGTAAATGTATATATGACTTGTGTTGTATGAAACCACTTTAAAAATGATTAACGTAATACTTTGTTTTCTGAAGATTGAATAATACCTTATCGTTAATTGCTCTTGTAAATATATATATATATATATATACAAATGGCTTTTTTGGTTATTTTCAACCTAATCATTGGATTTTAAAAGTAACATTCATTTATTTTATGTTTAAATATTACTTGAGATTACTTTATATATAAAAACTCACTAATTATTTCTAATGATAATTTAAATATCGAAAATCAATATTTAAATATGAACATAACAATATCTAAAGCTCTGAAATCCATGTGAAATTATCTAAGGAATAAGAAGTTTGAAACTAGAACCATTTAACCTTTGAACTATAAAAAAGTTATAAAATTAAAATAAAAATGTTTTAGCAATTAAAATATTTTTGAATTTAAAATTTAATAATAAAATTAAATGATGATGAAATTATAACTTGAATAAAATTAAATTAATGTGAAATTTTTATAGGCGCGTTGGGGCTTCTTTCAAATATTTTTGTAACTTTTCAAAATTTAAAATTAAATTAAATTGAAATCAATTAATTTAAATAAATTAATTATTGAATTAAAGAAAATTTAAGATAAACAAAAAAAAATCCTTAAATTTTCTTAAAATGATTCTCTAGTGACCCTTGATCTCAAAGAATAATTTCATTAAGATTTGAGTTGTATATAATGATGTTTTGCATTTTCTCTTAAAAATTTAATTAAAATCATAAAATAACCCTTAAGCTCTGGGCATACTCCTTAATACCACTATTAAATTCTTATGAAACAACAAAAAAGTTATATTGATACAATTGAATCAAAACATAATTAACTTAGGTTAAAATGAACAATCAAATTACACTAAAAACCCCTTAAGACAATTCAATCTTAAATAAAACTTAAATCTTAAAACTAAAAATCCCAACCTCAAAATCCACTCATAACACTCCTCATAAGTCCTTTGCTAGCTTATGAGAATGGTATATGTAGGTTTATAGGTTTGTCAAACCAAGTCAAACTCAATCAAAGTCAAAAATCAAATTGAAACTAATCAATTCAAATTTAAATCAAATCTAATTAAACAAAATTTAAACCATTAAAACTTAAACAAGCTGAATCAACATAACTCAATCAAACTTATTAATGAATCTAATTAGGTAACCATAGTTTTTAGGGCGGTGTGTCACAATTTTTAAGTGAGGTGCCCACCTTATTAGTACTAGTGAGCTTTGAAGAGCAGGACATCCTCTCTAGCAGATCTAACTTTGCATCACTCTTTATAACTTAAAAACAAATCTCAAACTAAAAAATTAAATAAGAAATATAAACTCATTCACAAAACATTTATTAACTAAACTCAAACCATCTACCTGTAATACTAGAACACAAAACATGAATTGTAACTCAAACATAAGGACTGAATTCATCTCGCCTCACTATCCACACATTTTAGAGAGCTTATTAGTCCAAAAATCTAGACATATGTTAGTTTGTTGGAGAACCTTTTATGTTGACTTCTATTTTGTTGGGTGTTAAGTTAGGCATTTCTTTTTAAATGTAATTCATAAAGCTAGGTCAGAGCTTGTGGGAATAAAATGGGTGAGGATGAATCCCAGCTAGTGATGCCTCGTGAAGCATGGAGGATCCAAACCATGAATGAAAAACTAAATTGAAGATGATGAACAAGAAGAACCAACAAGTTGATTCTTAGTTCTAGGATTTGTTAGGACGTATATGAGTAAAACTCAGCTGTCCGCTTTTCTTTGCTTCTAGGGTGTATGGTAAAACACAAACACACTGACCTATTTTAATTATATATTTATGTGTCATGTGCTTTCCTATGTTTGTTTACTTTGATCATGAACTAAAATTGCACATCTTTCCCAAATTTATTTATGTAATTGTGTGTCTAGGATTAGCTTGATTTTTATTTTTTAATCTTTTAGGATAACTTAAATTTTTTTAAAAACAATTTAAAAAAAAACTAAGAGGAAATCAACAAATAATTAATTAAAACATATGATTAACTGAAACATTTGGAATTATATTAGTTATTTATTTATTTTAAGTGCTTCACTCATTACACAAAAAGGATGGATCAAATTAATGAGAACAATCATGCTTATTTGGAAAGACTATCATTTGTATTTAATTTACCTTAATTTGACTTTTTGTGTTTGCATACAAGCATATTCAGTGCACCTACAACCTTCAATCAAATGAAATAAATCAAATTAAAAATAATTTAAATTTTAAAATGTAAAATTTTATATTATTTAAGTAAATTTCTATCTTGGAGCTAGATCTTCAGGGTTGAATTGTAAGTATCAATGTATTTCTCCTTATTAATAACAACTTATTTGCTCCGCTTCTATATGCAACTTAACTTTATGGGTTTTAAGCATATGTGTGGTTAGTTGACTCAGTCGTCTCTAGGCAAGGTTGTAAACAAGAAGAATCAGGCCAAATTTTACTCCTTTGTGGGAGTGAAGTTTGTTAAGTCTCACATTCTATCTTTTAGACTAGGTTTCAGCTTCTTATCCTTTTTGAAAGAGCTCACTATAGTTTAGGTTCTAACACAATCGTATTGATTTTTGTTAGAAGATAAGCCCTCTTTTAAGATTTTTTGTGATTTGTTTCGTTGTTTTATAAGACATAACATTCTAAAATAAAATGAATAATTTGAACACAATTTAATCTCAACTTTTAAATTTTAAAGCCCAGCTATATAATAGACTAGAGCACTATTAAACTTCTTAGTATCTGACGCCCCCTATCATTTCATTGACTTTTAACAAAAAACTATTCCAACTTAAGGCCAATGCCAATTAGCAATCTAAAATATTAATCTTTCTATTTTGAAGAAATGTTAGCCACTATTTAATCAAGAGTTATCCAAAGAAGTAACCCTTCTTTGAATGTAATTAACAATGTTGGCTTTCCCCTTTAGGGATTCCCAACTCCAAATCAATATAAATTGTATCCTATCTTTATATGACAGAGGACAAACTTCTAGCAACGTAAATTCTGGAGTATTGAAATCATCATTTCATGACTAGATCTAGCAAATGGTAGTGTCTTAATCTTTTAAAGATATACATTATTCCTAATGTTGTATCACATCATAAATGAAAAAAGTTATATCCGATGGAATGTATTCCTCCATTATGAACAGATCATACTATTAACAATTCGACAACACAAATTGAATTTGTTT